TTATTATGGAATGATTGAAAGACGGTAAAGAAAAAAAACATCAGAAAGAAACACACAGTTTGATTTGAATTAAACCTATATAAGATCATTTGTTTTTATTTTCCTTTTTTTTATTTCAAACACATAGAGGTGTGTTTTGTGAAAATGGGAGATGTGACACAAAATTTGACAAATAATTAAACAGTTAACGTTGCTATTTTCTCATATTGTTGTTCTGATAGAATTCTTTTTCTCGTCATTTCTTTTAAATAAAAACGAAATTCTCGTCTTGCTCTACAAAAGTAGAATTGGTTGTTTACTTTGCTTGTTTACATGTCACTTAAGATTAAGGAAAATAATCAATTAGAAAAAGAAGAAGATACGGAAAAATATATATAATAATCATCGAAATGTGGAAATTTTTGGTCGATTTCCCATTCCTGTGTTGCCTTTTTTCGTGTTTGTCCTAAAATAAATGTTACATAATTTGTTTTGTCTCACATTTAAAAATGTTTTTATCTTTTCATTAATTTTTTTTGTTAAAAAATATTTGGTTGATTGTTTTGATTTTGCGTCGAGAAAAAAAAGTATGGTGTGTTTGAGGAGGACCTATATATATATTAAAAAAATGATCTTGATCTCGTTTGTTGCTTCTGCATTTTGTTTCAATTTGTTTTCTTGTCTAGAAAAAAGATAAGCACTCTAGATTCTTAATAAATAAAGAAAGAATTTCCGCTGTGAATTTGTGTGAATTGTCGCCGTTTTTCATGTGTGATTAGTTCTTTTTCATTACTTGCATGGATTTCTGCTGTGTGTTTTTTTGCTTGTTTTCTGTTTGCTGAAGTTCTTCATATTATATACTCTTATTCGTACGATTATTTCTAGCACGGGTAGTATTATTAATATTTAGTCCATACAAAAAAGGAGAGAGAAAAAAACCCAAATACAATAAGTGTATTTTCTTGAGGCTTTATTTCCATGCTAAAAGTTTTTCATCGTGTGTTGAATTCTTTTTTTCTTCCTTTTTACATCTTTCTTCTTTCAATGATCTCGAAAAAAAATTCGTTCCACAGTTTTTTTTCGTTCTTCTTCAATTAAAGTTTACAACTATATTTTTTCTGATTATTTTTTGCATCATTTTTTTGTTAAATTTAAACAACATTAATTAATTGTGTACGCCTATAAATAAGTGTCTCTGCATGGATTCGATTCGATTTGATTTGTTTGGTTTTTTTTGGCAGATTTTTCGTTATATTTCCGTTGAATATTTGTTTTTTTTTCTTAGTTATTTTTTTTACTTCAAAATTGCATCTTTCGCTGATCGAGTCCTCGATTAAACTGAAGATTCGTATCATAATGTGTGTGTTTGTTTGAATTTCGGAATTCGAATTTTTTTTACGTAAGAGTAAGAAAGTTCCAAAGAGATGAGATAGAGTCTTAAAGAAGGGGCTTTTGTTGGCAGGCGCACAACAAATAAAAAAACACATGCACATTTCAGCGAGCTCTGTCAGCTTCAGAAAAGGTCCAAGCAATTGGTTTAATTCAAATGTATTTGGTGCATAGACCAAAAACATTTTAAATCAAGTTACTCATTTTCTCACCATTTCCGTAGTTTCCAAAACCGAAATTTACCTAATACGAAACTATTCACACATTCCTTACGCTACCATTAAATGTGTATTTGCATATCGCTCACAAGGCTCTCGCTCAATGATCATTGGAATGGCCATAGAAGAGAAGGACATTTGGAAAAATAGAACAAATGCTTAGGCTTGCACTAAGCTAAATGGCAATTTGCTTTTGTTCTGGGTCTTCGGTATATGTTTCTGGAAACACTTCAATGAAATCCAATGAGAGCCTATTTGTTCATCTCTGAATAAAAAAGAACGTGACGATTAAAACAGTACTTGTGCTACACACACAGCCAAATGTCCTTGCTTGATGTGAAACATAAAGTCTTCGAATTCGAATTGTGTTGCGTGCAATTCACGTCTAGTGTACGATAGTTGGTAGGAGGATAGTGGAGAGTCGTTACGAAATATTGAAATTTGGAACTATCTATGATATCAACGGTTGATGTCCCATACTGAGAAATTAAGAGATTATATTTTGATTTGTGTTGGGTTTTTTTTGTTGTTGTTGCTACATCTTATTGTTAATTTGCAAAAGTTTGTCCGTAAAACATTCGGTTAAATACACTTAAAATTTTAGATAAGTTCACATCAAGCCTTGTTCAGTCAAGCAATTCGCTGGACATACTTCTTGTGTTTTGTTATTTTTGGTTTGCTGGTTTGTTCTCTGCGGGTTGGTTTTTCTTTTAAATTTTCGAGCTAGAGAGATAAAATGTGTCGAAAATTGAACAACAATTCATTCGATTCGATAAAAAAAGGTGGCTAACATGTCTAGTGATCTCAGGTTGGGGATTCGTACTTCTTCAACAAGCTTATATTTATTAAATAGATTCACTTAAATTTGCGGTGTGTTTGGGGTTATTTGTTTCCTTTTGTATCTCTGTGGAGTATGCGTGTTGTGGCTATGTTTCGCTTACAATTAGGTACATATGATTTGTTTCTGTTATTGATTCATTCTCTTGTTGCTTGATGCCGGTTAATGTTACCTCTTTTCATCTGATTTCTTTCACTCCACCTTCTTCTTCTTCTTCTTCTTCTTGTTTTTGCCTCAAATACTATAATAGTTAGTATTTTATCTTGTTTAAATGTTAACAAAGAAACATTACTCTACTATTCAATTTGATTATTAATAGAAGTCATTTAATCCAAAAGGTATGTCCATTTTTGTTGTTTTTTTGTTGTTTAATTTATGTATAAAGTTTCATAAAGCATTGAATACAATTATATGATTTTTTGTGTTTTTGCCACTAAAAAGTTCCGTCATAATATATAATTCAGATTGACACATGCAACTTATCTTAATATTTATTTATTTGTTATTTTTTTTACCATCAATAATATTAGTGTTAAAGTTCAGGTTGTTTTCTTTGCTTACAATGTTTTCTTCTTTTCTGCTTTCTTATTTAAAAAAAAAAAAAGAAGTTATAATGATAAATTAGCCTAATATGCTCCATGTTTTTTTCATCGATTTTCGTGTTGTTATTTTCTCAATAAAAATGTGAGATGTGCTCCTATCTGTTTCTTTCATTTGTTTCTCTTTTTTTTGGTGGCATAACTGTGGTCCGTATGCATGCTTACTTATCTCTGTGCCTCTTGATTGTGATAAATTAATAAATTACGTTGAAACGAGAGGGAGGGTATGTGTGGTTCGACCGCGCGAGCTAAAATTCATAAGATCGTTCTAATTGCATTAGTTGCGGCGATGCTGCTGCTGCTCATTCAAACTAAATAATGTCTCTCATCAGTTTTGGTTTCAGTGACTTTGTGTTTTCATTTTTTTTTTTTGCTTGTTTTTGTTTCTATTTATACTCTAAGTAAATACGATTAATTTGTATCATATTGTTTGCATCGTTATCGGTCTAATTGTCTGGTCGGTTGGCTTGCATACTAATTTAAATGCATCGTTTTCAATCGAAATTGCAGTTTTGCCACAAACGATTGATTTTCTATGCATAAAAACAATCGTATTCTTTGTTTTCTCTTTTTTATTTTAATTTTTCTCTTATGAACTGTTAACAATTATTGAAGTACGGTTTGCATCTCTCATCTTCACTTAATTTGCCATTTCGGAGATATATAATTAAAGCTTTGTTTTATGTGTGGCTTTTTGTTTTCTTGTCAAATTTTTTGGTTTTTTTCCATTTGAAAAAGATAAAAAAAAAAAAAACGCTACACCCACTAGAAATATTGATCTCTCTTACACTTATTTCACGTCTTCATTTCACGTGTGTTTCTGTTTTTTGATCGACAATTGTGATATTTTTTTTTCATTTCTGTCAATATTTTATTCTTTGATCCATTCTCTTCGAGTTGTTGTAACATAAATAATGGTCAACGAGAGGCAGGACATATAGAGAGAGAGAGAGAGAGAGAGCAAAAAAGGGATAGAAGAGAAAAAAAATAAAGAACAACAAAACAAAAATTCTGCGTATCTTTTGTACATGCGTCAATTTGTTGTATAGCGGATTCGGTCTGGATTATTGGGTTCTACTATTAATACGCTCATCTTTTAAATAACATTAAAAACTAGAAGAAACATAATGTTGTTTGTTTTTTTGCCTACAAAGTTTATACATCGAACAAAAATGTAGTCGATTTTAAGTAGATAGACATAGTGTTGTGCAATATACATACATACACACACCGATAAGACCGATTAGTCAAATGAGCAAAATGATGTGAGAATGTTAAATGAATGGTTTGGAACGTGTGTATCCCATCTTCTCTGAGGTGGTGGTCTCTGCTATCAATTTTTTTTTTCTCAATTATGCACTTTTGCCATTGTCCATGCCACTCAAACGTCCATATTTTCCCCAAATTCCAATGTCAAAAAGATAAAATTAATTCAATAACTCAATTTAATGTAGCTAAACTAATTCAATTAAAGCAAATGTGTTCGACCTAGGGCTCGACACAAAGGAAAAGAAAACCATTAATTGAAGAATTAATAGAAAAAAAGTACTAAAACTGAGAGAGTTCTATCGAAAAATATAATATGCCTTGTGTGTTTTGCATCGAGAGAAATTGTGTGTGTAAGTGCATCTGTGGCGTTGAAGTTAATTAGTTAATCAATGAATCATTTTGAACAATAAGAAATCTAATTTTGAAGTTTTTTTCGCTTTTTTCGCTTTTTTTCCTAGTTTTTTTTTTTTCCTTTTATTTTAAACCTAAACAAAACAGAAAAGTTTGTTTTTTGTCTGTCAAACACCGGTCATCGTGTTGTTTTTCTCTCCTTCTCCGATTCTGTTGCTCATTCAGTTGCTTTTTTACGTAAAAAGATCATATTGCGAATCATTGACATAAATTACAAATTAAGATTTATATATATATATATAAAACACAACTAAATAATTGGATTATTCATTAAACAAAGTAATGATGACATGCCCGTTTTTTATATGTGTTTCATTTTCATTTAATTCTTCAATATTTCTTCTTTTGATTGAATCCACATTTACTGTAGCCGAAAATAAAGCGAGAGAATACATATACACGTTTTTTGTTAAACTGTTTGAGTGCTTGAGAGTTTCATTTTCGTTCATTTGGGTCGATTCTCTTTTTGTCTGCTAAACTATCATCTAACGGTTTGTTTTTCTTCTTTAAACTAGGTATAATTAATTTATTTCAATATGTGTTTGTGTGAATGGTTGCATGTGAACTGATCAATCGATGAAATTAATTTGAATTTTTTAAGGGGTTTGATTTCTTTGTTTCTCTTTTTTTCTAAAAATATATATATAAAAAAAAAAATTGAAGCAAATCTGTGGGATGTTTTCCGTGTGTGTGTGTGTATGTGGTTTCTATATGGGTGTGTGTATGTGGTTTCTTTAAAAATGTTGGTTGTTTATGCAAAATACATCACTTTTTTCGTTTCGGCATGTACAGTGATAGCTCTGGCCATTGCACCTGAAATAAAAGGAATGGAATCTTGATTAAACAATAACGCAATTCACGTTTGCGACCTCAAATTCTGCTATTCTAAAATGCGAACATCAAGGGACTCGAATCATGTTTGAATTCTACTCCGCTCTGTTAGAAATCTTGGTCACGCATTCAACAACATTCGAAAATGAATTCAAATTGTTGACGCAGTAAGAAATCTTCGATTGATTTATACAAAAAAAAAAATTGGTATTCTTACCAGGCGTACGATCCTCCGAACACCCACTTTGATGAGACCCTTCGCCTGAATCATGCTCCTTTTCAACCAAATGATATCTATTTTTGTGGGCAGAAAATTTAGTTTAATCAATAAAACAATTTACAACAATTGAAATTACTCGAATAAAATTCACGTGAATTACAAGCAAACAAATGACATTTGATATTGAACTTGAAACACGACGTACCTGGCTCTGAACGCAACTAAATGTGCATAATATGCTGGCGCTGGTATTGACACTGACCTTGTGCATCTAACATATGTGTGACACAATTGATACGTGAGACATTGCAATTCATCGGAATCGAAATGATTGTCATCCCATAAAACGTGATAGTGTGATGGTCGACTGGTGCCCTATAAACCGAAGAATATCGTTGTTATTTTTTGTTAAATTTAAAATTTCCGACAACCAACGATATGGTTGTAATCATTCACTTACCTGAATACCTTGATGACTGCAAAGGTAGAAGTCGAATTCGGTTGGATGTGTGATGCCAACATCGACCGTTGTACCAGCTGGAATATTGCCCGATTTGCCGCTTTGTTCTTTTTTGTCAGCGCAGAATAGTCGCGTATGATGTCGCTTCTGAACAACGATAAATGTAATTCCCGGTTTATAATCAGCTTCCAATTTGATGCAGGCTTCCCGCAATGCGGTCAATTCGTGTTGCAGCACATGTGGGAATTGACCTTCAGAGACACCGTCACGATACAAAATGATTCGGTGTGGCTTATAGCCACCGGTGGATTTGTAGAACATTATCAAGAGCTCACGCACCATGCTGCTAAGCTCTGTAGTTTAGTCAAAATTGTTGAAAGAAAAAAAAAGTGATTAGAAATTTAAAGGGGAAAATAATGGCATTTCAATTCGAACATTTTGAATGTTACAAAATGCTAAATATAGCAAATTAACTTGGCCGGTTTGAGTCTCACCTTGAATAATCTCTTGTCGATGCTGCTGAACACGGACGGTGGCCGAGTATCGCGATGGATGACCATCCATGGAGCCAACAACGGCAGCAATAGATGGTTTTTTATTGTCACCAGCTGGTGGATGGGTCACATCAGCTCCAAGGAATATGACTGGCTCATTGAATACTTTTGGTCGTATGGATGGGACTAAGATGGAATTGATGCCGCCCAGTTTAACGTTGATCTTTAAGCATAAATTGGATAGTGTTTGTGGCGATGTTTTGTTGACATTTTTCGCTTGGACACATTGTGTGGCCATTCCCAAAACAGTGTCACCAACTCGCTTAACCTCAGCTGTTAAAATACAAAAGAGTCAAATTATTGGATCGTGTCTGTGTGCGTGTGTGTATGTGTTGATTGAACTAGATATAAAAAGATGATTTCTTACCGTAAACAGGTGTCTTTCCTGAAATTGAAATGATTGAACGGGAAATAATAAAAAAAACAATTGCGAAAAGGAACTGTGTCACTGTTCTAGTGGCGGTTACTTACCAGGAAGTACAACTACAACAAGTTGTAGTGCATTAAAGCTATTCTTTAAGTATCTGAACATGGGTTCAACTTGATCAGGTCCGGTGGCATATTTGCAGAAGCATGGCTGGCCTATGATTGGCATGCCAGCATCGTTGGATATTTTCTGTAGCTGTTGGGTAAAGTTGCGCAGCGAATCCTCTCGTACAGTACGTTGTGGTGCGAAACAAGCGATAGCCCAGACGCGAATTTCGACACCAGTGAAAAATTGTTTGCCACGCATATCCCAAACACCTTGGTTGGGAGATGCAAGGCTAACTTTGTTCTGTGGAGGAAATAATGGCTTTTCTGAATTTAATATGCTTCTTATACGCGTCAAATTGGCTAACTTTACTACTAGGGTGCATGCACATTCATTTTGGTGAATAAATTCAAAACGAGAACGACATTCGAGAAACACGCGCGCCATATCGTTTCATGGCTGCTTCTCGTCGATTTCGACGAACATAATCCACAAATTGAATGAAGGCAAAGTCGTGTCATATGAAATGCATATGAATACTTACTTGCCCGCTGATCGACGACACTCGGCCGCCATACTGTAGTTTTGGTGGAGGAAGAACACGACCGCGTACTTCCATCATACTGTTGGAAATGGTCAATCCGAATTCTTGTACATAGGCATCATTGTTGAAATCAGCCCGACGTACTAAATTGTTGATTTCCCGTTCTCTGTCGAATTTTTGAAGGAAATTTTTGATTATTAAAATAAAATCGATGAGAAAAAAACAAGCACTTGCCGAAAAATGCTTCAGCGTTCATATATCGGAACTGAAGAAACAAAAATGTGCGTGAAAGATTACCTGTCGGGAGCTGAACGTGCAGTGGCTTTGATCATTGTTGACGTTTGCATATCCGTTAGTTTTTTGATGCAACGTTGCCCAGCAACAATGTTGCATACTTCCAGTGGCAAGTAGGTATGCTTGTGTTCTTGGCCCACTTGAAGACAGGGCAAATGTGGGTGCTTCAACTTCATTTTGTATTTATCGAGGAAATATTTCGCTACGGTGCACTCAACCGTTTGTCCGTTTTCTAATTGTAATGGGAATCTAATCACACGAGACAAAAAAAGAGTGGAAAATTAGCAAATCAATAAATGCGCTTGGTCATAAATGTGACGCGGTGCGGATAGTTACGATTGCATTTGAGCTGGACGTCGTGTTACGTTGCACACACGATACTTTCGCCTCATTGTTCCGCAATGTGTGATTTCGATTTTTAAGCCTTTAATTTCTTTTGTAAATTTGACACGCTGTGAATCTGTAAGTGGTTTTCGCTGGTCTAATACGTCACGAATATCGAGAACTTCGCACATAAAGTCAGTAACTGGTTGTGCTTTGTAAAATGCAGTTGCCGAAACTGAAATTCAATTCGAACAAAAAATGTCATTTCGATCAGAAGAAAAATCTAACAAATCAAACTTTCTATCGATTTCAAATAGTAAAGAATTGATTATGAGAAGCGTTTATATAAAATGTTTTCAAAAATTCCAAAACGTACCATCAATATTAAGCATCATTTTCCACTGTGATGGTCGTACACTTTGATGGAAACCAAACCAAACTTCACGACCGCCGCCCAATGGATGATAGTAGCCATCTGGCGAACTGAAGAAACTGCGACCGACAGGTGTGTATGTCATGCTTGGCAAATGACGCATAACCACGTCCAATGCCAATATGGCATCGTATGGAATTTGACGTGTACGACCCTCGAGCGCCTCTTCCAAATTGAATAGTGAAACCTGGGCCAACCATTTGATCGACACACGAAATACACGATCTTTACCCTCACCCGGCAATGTTACCTCCAACTCCAAACGATCGTTTCCAATGGGCAACGGATCGCGTGTATATAAATTGTTGCGACCATCAAATACTGGCTTCAATACACCAAATAATTTACTGTACGCATGTACCATCGTTTCGATGATTTCACGGTTCACTTTGCGTGGACACTTATCCGGTTGAATGTTAATGTCATAGTGATGGACGAAACCGCGTGGCATCGAAATCTGAAAATGATTGGCGCGCAACAATATCGGACGACCTTCATGGCCCAAATTTGGTCTGCGTGGGCATGTGAACACGGGTAGATCGGGTGCAGCCGGTGTTGTTGCGGATACAACGCCAGTCAATGGTCCTGGATATGTGTGGAAAATAGAATAAATGGACCGATTTTAATAAATAATTCAACAATGATCTCTCGAATCTTCAATACGAAGATGATTTTACTCCATTGTGTACATGGTATCTATTTTCAAAATTCCAATTCTCAAATTACTTACCGGGTGTTGCTGTTGTCGTTGTGCTCACAGCAGACTCAGAAGCAGTTGGTGCTGTTGTTCGAAATTCAATCATTTCGAAGAAGGAGAATATCAATTAGATTAATTAGGCAAATTTTTGTGTCCCTTCAGTTCACTCATTGAGAGATTCATGAAGATGATATGATTTTGAAAGAAAATTCAAATGGAAAATCCAAAATAGCACAGATAAATGGATAAATAACCATGAAAATGTATTTAATGTTAATTATCTTTTGTTTTGGTTGTCATAACCGTTTTTGTGAGAGGTAAACATGATTCATGAGGTTAAAAAAAACTATGGTTATCTATATCACATTGAAAGAGATATCGCAAATGAATTGGAATGGATTAGAAATTGGTGAGTATTATTAGTAGATTAGGTGAGAAATGGTCTGTCCATAAAGCGAAATTACAGAGGAACAAAATTTTTGCAGCATGGATGAAGCAAATTCAAACGGAAATTTCAAAAGAAATTCAAATTTTGCAAAATTAGAATTTGAATCAAAAATTATTAAATCGAATGATAGAAAAAAAGGTAAAAATTCTAAAATAAAAAGGTTATGTGATATGTATCGTGTGCCCATTTTGCCACTTAGAACTTATCAATATACATACATTCACTTTTTTCCCACATTTTGGATTTTTATGTATGTTTTTCTTATCAACGTTTGTTTATTTTCTTTTTCGTTTAGTTGTAGGTTTTCTTTTTATTCAATGGATCTTTTATATTTCGGTTTCGCTATTTGCTTCTTGTAGCAAATCGTGTTTTTAGTTATGTGTTTTTTTTTTGTGTGTTTGTGTTTGTTTTCTTATTGGTAGTTTGTATTTAGACTTGGTTTAATTGGTGAATTTTGATTGGTGTCAATGAGCTGCATATGTAGTTTTTAGCCTAAACGATAAGAAAGTGATAGAATAAAGCAACAAATTAGTGAAAATTATTAAAAATTATAAAACCGAACAAGTATACTTCATATAAAGTAAAATTTGAAGCAACAATAACAACAATAATTTATCAAATAATGACTGTCCGTAACGTTGAGCGACTGTCCGTAACGTGTAAGGACGCTGATTCATTTCATCTCAATAAAATCTTCTTCCGGATTGATTAAGGATTTCTATAGCGATTCGAGTTCAATCGATTTTTCATTGAAATATCGTTTATTATTTTCCATTTTGATCTGGACAATAACCAAAATGATTAAGTTGATGCCTTAACTTATATTTAACAAACAGAAGGAAAAAACCCTATTCATCAAAAATCGCATTTATTCTTCTAACATACAACAACCGATTGGCGCCAACATAAAAACACAAGATGAAAACGCCACAACTAGAGAAGCACATCGAATCAAAGCTTCTGAACTCGTTCTTCTTCAGTTTGTGTTGTCATTTTCTCCCAGTTGGTTTGAATATGGTGGAGGGATGGGTGCATATGTGATACATTCGTTAGTTAGTGGTTGTGAATTTGGGTTAAAGTTGACCACTCATGCATTTTGGGGTTATTTGATTGTGTTTGTGTTCGAGTGTGTTTTGTGTGAAAATAGAGTGAAAACGTATGAAATATAATAAAACAAACAAACCGAATGAACAAATCATTTTTTTTTAGTGAAATTGCATTCCAACAATACCGAGAACTATACATATTAGACACAAACATTCAGTCGATGTATCTGGGAACATATTGAAGATCGGGAGAGCGGTGGGGATGGAAGAGGGTATATTTACCATTTCCTTTGAGGTTCAACATGATATTTTGGTAGGTTATCTCTTTCAAAAAATGTCTTTTTCGGAGACGAGCAATGCAAAACTGGCTGGTTTGTTTCTTCCTTGTTGTGGAATATTTACAATAGCACCGAATTACCGTTAATGTCGTCGTCTTCGTAGTCGCAACACTAATCAAATTCAATTAACTGATTTGTTTCGCAGGCAGTAGAAGTACAAGAGGCCTTTATTCAAGAGAGAACGAGATGGCCAGTGAACAGGTTAAAACGTGCTACACACAGCACGTTTTTATACTCTTAAAAAGTTCAAAAAGTTATTTATATTATTCGACGCAGTTACACAACAAAGACGATATTCTGAAATGACGCACTTTTATTCTTCAATCTAGTGTATTGTATGCTTGTTCAGCCACGATATTTGTTTATTTCGTCCAAAAACTTGGTTGATACTCATTTGTCCATGCACCAAATATATCGAAATTGTTAATAGTTTTTTCCCCAAGCGTGTTGTCGCCAAAAAAAAAAAAACAGTTTCCAATCGAGAAATCCCTTTCTTTGTTCGATGTGTGCTGTACATACACGGTGCAAAATAGAGCCAGTGTATGAGCTCTTGTTTACATTTTACCAAAAATGAAACAGGCGAAAAGAACAATAACATTTATTTACATATTTCACACGCGAACAACACCGATTATTTATTGCACACCGACAATTGTTTTTTTTTTGTTGCAAATTTTCATCCAAATATTTTCTGGAAAATACCGAGATATAAAAAATTCGGTCATTGACCTAAATTATGTCGAATGAACACGGCAAATGAAACAAGCGAAGTAACAAAAAAAAACAGACACAATATGTGTATGAACGAGTGGCAACTGCTCGTATATCGCTTGAAACTATTTTATTGTGGCGATACATGTGTTGTGTCGACATACACATACACACACCACACAGAACCATGATGCTCACGAAAAGAGTGAGAGGAAAGTAAATAAATATACTCAATGAAATATATCGCACTCATACACATTGAAACAGAAAATTCGACAGTGCTCATCACACTGTAGTATGGTTAATTTTTTTATTGGCTTGTTTCTATTCAGTCAGCTAGTGACTCTTTTGAATATATATATGTACATGTACCGTGGTCGATTCAGAGTGTCTCTGGCTCAATGGTCATACAAACAGCACACACAGTACAATGACGCGCGCTTCGGAGAGCGAAAACTTCGACTGTTTGTGTGTTTGTGTTTTTTTTTTCTCCACTTGAACCGTGTGAGTCGGTCTCATGTTTGCTGTGTTGCTGGTGTCGTTCTAACGTGTGCTCAACCCAATAATAATAATATGATATGAATAATTTTTTTAATTTATTATCAAAATTTTTATCGATTCAACTTGTCTAACTTCATGTAAACGCAAACAATGTACTGAGAAAAGAATGATGTGATCTATCTCTTTGGGTCTTATGATGAAAGATGAAACAAAATCAATCGGCCCGATTTTCTATCGTTTACATATTCCTCTTTGGCAAGAGAGCATAATTCACTAGCACACTTTGTCAACTGAACAAATCTGGATTTCATCTCGAGATGTGTATTATGCTCGGTCATTTCACATTAGCGTGACAAAAATAAAACACATGGGTTATTTCTAACCAATCGAGCCGAAACAAAAAATCTACCGATATACAAGAAAAAACACAGATGCGAAACAAGAAGGAACACGAGAAAAAAACCGTCCTCGGTTCGATCGTAACTTCTAACGGTAGAAAAAGTGTTGCGGTTGATAATAAACAGCCGAGACAGCCTTTGAGTTTTATATTTCAATTTATTCGACTAATGAATGAAAATTGGGCACAACACACACACAACACACAACATGCGGTTGTGTCTACGAATGATAACCGACCACGCGCAATTCATGATAAAAAAAAAACTGCGAGCTAAGTCCTTCCATGGGAATAAATGGAACCGCGATAAAAAAAAAAATGAACAACAACAACAACAACAACAACCGCAAACAAATCACCAATCAAAAGGAAATTCATAAGCATTTATGAAAACATCTCGGCCAATACAACACTATCGTTGGGAAATATGCAGTTGGCGGTTGGTAGAAATCTGGGAAACATGGTTTCTCATTCATTCACTCTGCGGTGTGTTTGAATTTTGTTGAGAGAGCGGCTGTTCCATTTCCTTTGTTCATATGGCCATTATTATTGTTTCACTGCTTGTTGCCGTTCTTTTCAAGCATTTTTTTTTTCTTCATTGTTCATTGTCGTTGCCGTCGCTGTCGTCGCTGCCACCACCACCGCGTTTGTTGTTTCTATTTTATCTGTGTGTAAATGTGTACGATTTGCGTGCGCGCATGTTGGTAACGATGGGCTAGACAATTTCGTGGTGTCTCAAATACTTGAGGAAAACGTATTGTGTTGACCAATTTGGGTATCGTCTCAATAGCCACACACACACACACACATACGATTTGCATTGATATATTTGAATTTCGACATAAATTGCAATCAAATGGTTCTGGATGATTGTTTTCGGGGTGAAGAAATACACGTAGAATGTCTTATGGAACCCAAGAACATAATGTCCGAACGTACAACGCACTCTGGCGCAAATCGACCAACAATACATACATGCACACAAGCACACCAACAGCAGCAGCAACAGCAGAAAACAGTATACACATACAATTCGATCGCTTTTCGATATACACATATACATAGAGGCGCGCGCGCACACGTTTACACCACGACACAATAATAGCAATGGTAGTAACACAGCATCGATATCTTCATCCTACCATTTGGCGTACACATTGAAACGCACACACTGTATCCACACACATACATGTATGTATATAAAGAGAGTATAATTATTGAATGCACGTAATGACGACGACCTGAGGGAATGCTTGAATTGGTGCTTCATAAATTTTTCGAAATCGTCCCACGAAACAATGCAATGCTTTTGCTCACTGTGTCCAAATAAAAGGAAAATTCATTGCGAATATTCTTTTTCATTTTTTGCCCGATTCTTTGCTCATCTCCGTCTCTTGCCGTGAACACATTCACACACACACACACACCAAAATATCTCGTCGAAAAAAAAACCACCAATGAAAAACTCGATTGAATTTTTTTTCCTTTGCTCTTCACTCATTCAAATTCACAATAATCCAAAATTTGATGCACACGCACATTTTTTTTTAATTTCGCAAAATTTCATCGTCCCATTTGTGGGCCAACAAAATTCTATTTTTTTTTTTTAAATACTTACGCTGCCCTACTGGATGCATGATTTTATTATTATCACAATCAGTTTGTTGAGGCACAGCGGAAAACACAAAATCACAGGAGCAAATACAACACTATTTTACTTCAAGTAAATAGACGCCATATGCATTCGATCGTCTTCATCTGAAAATTCATTTGACGTTCAGTGTTCATTCATTTCATTTTTTTTTTCTTCGGATAGGCTTTCTGTCTCGTTCGCTCCCATTCTATTCCACTTGGTTCCACTGGAATGAGCTTCGCTAGGCGGCGCCTCACATCCAAACACCAAATTGAACACTCAACAGATGACGCCACCAGTCAACATCGTGCCAGTTTCATTTGAATCGAACCGCGAATCGAATGCATACATATTCTGGGTGGGATTATTTTCTTTTTTAGTTTAAAAAATTCGACAATTTGTTTCTGCATATTTGGTTCATTTCTTTGTCATTTTTATCGTATTTGGAGCAAAATACACGTACATATTTTGATTTTCAGATTCGTACACTGAATCATCTCAACACGTATAGTGCCATGTTTGCGGGGCAGCTGCAATGTGTTGGAGCACCTGCTCAATCGCCATCACAATCGCCCTATCAATATAATTTCGAAAACATAACAAGAAAATCACATCCTTTTTGTTATTTTCTTCGATTGACAATTTCGAAATTTACTTTATGTGTGCGACAAAGCTTGCAGCTCAAACCTTGATTGCTTTGATATACTGTGTCGAAGAAGGAACAGACAAAATTGGCTCGAAGCGTAAACAGAATAGTAGAGGATATGACACAACGGCATCGGTGCACAACACATCAAATTCGCGATTTACTCATTCAAAAGATCAAAAATACGGCCCAAATTGTGTGTAGTATTGGTGTGCGGTGTGCGGTGTGTATGTTGAAATCGACGAATGTGTGAAAATACGCGGAAGAATAACCAAGCTGTATGCGTATTCCGACCAAAATGTTTAAATATAGAAAAGTTGATACCACCCGCATGTATGTATCCATATTTGGCAGACTATCTTTCAAATGAATTTCTGTTTCTCTTTTGTTTCACGCAATCCAAATTCGGATATTTAAAACAAAACACATCCGAACTTTTTTTATGTTAAAAACAATAACATTCAAGATCGAATTCGCCCGCTGGACGACAAGAGGCAGAATAGAATATTGAATTTTAGTTCGGGATATACATGTTAAAATTTGTAAATGTAAATGTAAATAAAAATTATCACGATATGTATCACATTCAATTTCTTCCAATTGTAATTTATGTCAAAATTGGTAATAAGACTAGGATAAAATTTAAGAATGCAAAAAGGAAGACAACTCATATATATTAGGATCTAGAAAAAATATATTTTTATCGTCATTCAGATATCGTGTGTTTGTTTACCATGCAATTAAAATGAAACCAAAAAATTGTTGTTTATTCAATATCTGCACTGAGAAAAGGCTGGAAGGAAATATTCCAACCCTGCGTTGTAAATGTTGTCATTGCAGACGATATTGTGAATTGTCCAACCATGGTTGGAATATTGATAGCATTTTCGCACTTTTCAAATTCCAACCATGGTTGGACAATTCACAAAATCGTCTGCAATGACAACATTTACAACGCAAGGTTGGAATATTTCTTTCCAGCCTTTTCTCAGTGTGTAATGAAATTCTTTTTTTTTAATTTTGAATATTAAACCATTGTCCGATTAAAAAAAAAAATTAAAGGCCCAAATCAAAAGGTCAAAAAATCGAAAGATAATTAAACATACAGTTTGGAAGATAGGTAGAAATCAGTTCAAACATCGGTGAAATGGGACATGAAAAAAGCATTGGCAGCACTTGGCGCGTATATCCAAAAAATGTAAAACCAAAAAATTGTTGTGCGTATAGTTGTTACCCTATCGTGACTCTCGTAAGAGCCAGCCTCTCTAGTACGAAACGGAACAGACTATAACAACATTCAGTGCATAGCATGAATCTGTGTCTGTCTGTTCCGTTTCGTACATTATTGAGCGGTAAACTGCACCCACTGTGGTGGTATAATGTGCGGACCGACGACAAATCCTTGCGGCAATAAGCCAGCAATTATATACCAATGCCAGAAGCTATTTGACGGCCTGAGAAGAAGAACCTTTCCTACAAAACCTGTGCGCAGAACACGAACACAGAAATTTTTTAGTCAAAAGGCGAACAGCAAATTTGCGAGCGCAAAAACCTAATATATTTACATTATATTTATAACAAGCCTACTAGCATGCAAACTCCGTATAAGTAGGCCTGTTATGCTTTTGCGCTCGCAAATTTGCTGTTCGCCTTTTGACTAAAAAATTTCTGTGTTTGTGTTCTGCGCACAGGTTTTGTAGGAAAGGTTTTTCTTCTATAAAGGCCGTCATTTATGCTGTTCGATGCAAGTTCGAAGTTTAGCGAACTATAAGGCAGCGCTCAAATGAAAAACCAACCGGTCACGGGAACGTTTGAATTTTTTACTTGAGTTTAATACTGGTTTGCTGTTGAACGAATTTTGATTTTTTCCACTGTTTTTTTTTTTCTCAATATTTTTTTTCCTTCATTTTGATTATATTTCTAAACTGTTTGTGAAGAAAAATAATTTGTGAAGAAACAAAGTGAAAACAAATCAAAATTTGGGACGAGAGTTTATAGCATATATGCGCTTGATATATTTAGAGAATTTCAATGAGATTTAATATGAAAAAAAAAAAAAAAATTCTTCACCATAAATCTAAAAATTTGATCAATTTATAGAAAAAAAAAATGTAAAAAAATAATGAAAAAAATAGATTTTTATCGGTTGGTTTCAAAGAGTTGGCCAAATGAAACAACAAGAACGTTCTACACGTCGGTGTGTTCATTATAGTTACACAAAATGAATTAATCGCTGTAAATGTAAAATGAAGGTATGATTTATGTCAAGGACTGGTATGTAACATTTTCGAAATGTTAATATGATTTTCCGTTTTTTTTTTTTCTTAACACACTGCCTGATTTGCGAGCTATATGTATCGATGTGGTGAATGACTTGCTTCGATCTCAAAGCACATTCTCGGTGTAGCACCATATGTGTGTAGCCGAATAAAAATAAAATTTGAATGAAAAATCACACACAAAATTAGACTGAATTTTCTCACATTCTCGTGCGCGCGCGCGCGCGCGCGCTCTTTCACTAACATGAACATGTGCCGTGCTACATGCACACAGTCATTTTATCTGCTTTACAGGAATGAAAAATCATCTCTCGTTCGCCTGTCGGCGTGTATAGATGAGTGTGTTTATAAATGTATCGGTGCAAAGAAGCACACCGTCTACGGTATATTTTTATAAAGGCACTCTATTTCTTTCTCGTAAATATCTCATGCTCTTACTTATAGTACTACCAAAATGAATAACAACAACAAATCGACAACGAAAAGCAAATTTTTTTTTTTTTTTTCATAAATACACATAGAAATGCCGTTACTTATGTATAGACACACACACATATCGGGAATTTTATTTTGATTTTTACAAATTTAGTTTAGTGTTATGCGACATCGCAGTGAGTCGGCTCAATCTTCTCTATATATCGTTGTCGGTTATAGATCTGTGATTGTGCGAATTAGTTTTTAATTTCAAGGAAGGAAACGAACAGGAAAAACGCGGAAAATCCATGGCACTTAAACTATAAGGGGCATATCAAGTGACGACAATTTTATGGAAGAGAAAATATGCTGGAGTAAAAATATTTAATGAAATTTTGATTTTTATTAAAATTGACGTAGGACGGCTAGTGTGTGTTCGGCCAAACATGGAAAATTGTATTCTTTTACATGCTGTGATCCAGTAGTTTTTAGTTCAGGTGATTCAAGGTTCAAGGAATACAATTCAATTGAAGAAACTATCAAAGAAATCATCATTTAAAAAAAAAATGCATCAAATGCTGTGTTGTCTGTGAATTTGGAGCTGAGAGACATTGTAAAAATACGAGAGTACGAACAGTAAGAAAGAGAAAGAGAAAGAAAAGAGGAAAAGTGTGAAAACGTTGATGTCGTGCAAGTGGGTGTGAAATTCGTGAAAATAAGAGAATGTGCACACAGTAAACGCTGAATCAGAACTGATAAAATAACATTTGGTGACCATTTTTTTTCTTCCTTCATTCTTGGATAAAATCAACAACACAAATTGGAATTGCCACACGGATAGGAATACAGAGAGTGATCATTTTATTTCTTCAAATTGGATTTTCATCATCAGTTTATTTCGAAATGGTCTGAAAAGGATCGTAGCTAAGTTAATCGAGCGAAAGGACAGTGGAGAAAAATTGAATTTCTGCGGTTCGCAGTTCGAAAGCAATGCTGCCGGAACTATTGTTTTCAGGTGAGTTTGATTTAATACAAACTACTGGAAAAACAGTTTCACCACAAAAATATTCGCACTGTGCCGAATCAAAGGAGTTGTACAGCCATAAAAATGTGCGCGAGCGCAGCTACAACCACCAACGATACTGCGTTCCAAATAAATCATTTAAGCATTTGATGAAGGAGTTGGAGAGAGATAGAAGGAGTTCGAGTGGATTGACGAACAGTTTTTTTTTTTTCATTTTATATATTTCACATTGAACATAGCCCATTGCTATGCTCTTACGCTGGCAAATATTTCAAAAGTGTGATCGTTTCTCGACGACTATTAATGTGCTGGCGGACTCACTAACTATGCCTATGACTGTGGCCGTACAAGCCAAAAAAGAGACAGAATACACACGCACACATACTTTCCCTATGCATAAATATTTCTTTTTTTTTCGGGGACTATATGCTTGTGCCCAATTTTTGCGTATAGAATCTGTTTTCGGTTCTATTATTCGTATACCGACTGCGAATTTGTCGAAATCATTTCGTTTGATCCAAAAGTAGTGTTTAGCCGATCGAAATCGATTGGTCGAACGAGAAAACGATAGAAAGAAAGGATGCTGCTAAAACCAATTCCATTTTTTTCTCTCGCAATTTTCAGTGTGTGTGGGAGAGATTCCGTTTTTTTTGTATTCCGTTTTTTGTTTTTCGAAAACATGTTCCAACCAACTGCACGCCAACATTTCAATTGGAGCGCTTCAGATTTTCTGATTTTCTTTTTTCTCTCACATACATCATTTTCCGTTGCTGACTGCCACTTCAGCTTATATAATGCGGTAAAACATTATATACCCATTTATATACATAAACGGGAATTATACGAATTTAACGGTTTGATTTTGGCAAATTTCCTAAATTGAATTATTTTTCAATATCGCTTAATCTTCGGGCAGTTGCTCAGCGAATCATCGTCTGAACGAGAAGTGTTCGGGTGTTTTTTCTTTTTCTTTTCATTTTTCGATGTGATTGGCTTTTTGATGAATGCTTATTCGATGCAAAGACACTTGAACGCACAATGCTCACAGTTCATAACGATTCACTTAAAACGGGAGAATGCAGCTATACGATCAATTTAGATGGGAACGAAAGAGAAAAAAAAGAACGCCTTGTTAATTTATTGCAAACGAACGAAGAACATATGACACACAAGGGAAAAAAAGCGATCAAAAAAGAAAATCGCGCTCAAGCGAGTACGTTTTATTTTTGTTTCAGTGACGGAACGATGTGCTCGATATTTCATAATTCGAGAAAAAATAGTTCTGTTATTTTGGTTGGAAAAAAATTCTTTCATTTATGATCATCTCTCTCTCTTTCTCTCTCTACCTCTATCTCTCTCCTGCTCACTATTTTTACGAGCAAAAGAAACGCTTACAGCCACAACAACAACGTCGACGACTATTTTTTTTTTTTATGAGCCATAATCGACACTAAGCAATTTTGGCATATTTAAGTATTTTCACATTTCAAGTATTTCTTTTTTCTGCGCTTCGTTCAACCATTTCGAATTTGGACCATTTTCAGGACCTAGCATGCAAGATATATCTCGTGACGAATTGACATTGCTGCAAACAGGATGTGATAAAGATTCAATTTTAACGAACAACGAATCAGCATTTGATCGCATTAAATTGGGTCGAACGCCAGAACTTGAAACGTTACCAACATCAATTAAATTGGAAGACACCACCGATGCATTCCAATGGAACACAACCAACACGAATATCGGATCGAATTTACTGTAAGTGTTTGAGCCTATATGACGTTAAATACATAGAAATAAAATCCAAAGCCATAAAAAAATGCCTTGTGAAATGTACTCATTCGATTATTTTACAATTAACAAAACAATAAACTGAATTTTCATTTCGTTCTGGTACTAAAGGAGGCATTCAGATGATCCGCTTATATCGGGTGCATTAGATGACAATCAGAACGAATTTGATTCGATAGCCGACTGTGGCAATACGTTGACTTCAATCGAAACGTCGCCATCAACGTACAATAAAAAAGCGCGAGTGAGAAAATCGGGAAATGTTAAATTACGTTTCCATCATCAAGCGCTTCCGCAAGAGTATCTCGAGCACTATGAAGCCACTCAAAATCAATTTCACAACACCAAAGAGATGACTCTTGGTGGTGGCGGCAGCGTGAAATCGAGTCCAAAGGATCGAACGGCAACTGCAACTGCAACTCTACCATCACCGGTGGCACCTTCGAGTGAACATACGCCCACAACTGATCATGAGCACATGGATTCAAATTCGGACAAATCGACGCAAATGTGGATGCAAAAGACATCCAAGCATCAAAATGGTAAAGCGTCACATTCAAGGCTGGAAAATGAGCCGAAAATTGCATCAAAACAAAGTTCAAAGGTGACAACGCATGACTTACCGTATATGGGCGAAATAACACTGGACAATTTCAAACCGCGCCGTGGACGAAAGCCGAAAAAGGCTGATATTTGTCATTTGATCTATAAAAATTATGGTACAGTGTTTCCGAATCAAAAAACCGACGAAACAGAGATGGAAGTGTCGAACAACACAGAGGTGGCGCTCAAACGATCGTTGCTGAAACGAAGACTAACCCAAAGTGGTGACGATGCGGAGGAGTCATTGAATCATGGTGCCAAACATAATGGTGAAGAACCATTGAATTTGTGCGTTCGAGATCGTTATGATAGTGACGTGATGACTGTTGTATCCGATGAAGATATGACAGATAGCGAAAAATTGGCCGATTTCAAGCCAGAAATGTCTTTGTTAGCCATCAACGATCCACTCACCGCCGCGAATTTTCCACGCAATCTTAAAATGGCCTTACCGAATTTCCAGACAGCACTTTTAGATAATAAGCACGAGTTACCCGAAGGTGGTGGAATCAATATGGGAAGCGATATCAATAATTGTTGGCAAAGTTCCGGAATGTTTTTGAATCCAATGGTTTTGTACCTACAAAAAATCGCAAATGCAAACTCAAATCCAAATACAACAACATCCAGTTACGGTCAAATTTCAACGAGTGATGCGCCAAAAACTGAAACCACCGAAGTTGTTGATGCAAATCCAACACGAATGAGACAAAAACGAATGTTAGTTCCAAAAAAAATGTCGCAATTGCTAAAAGAAGATAGCTCAGCGACTTCAGATACAGGTCAATCAACACAGACAGCGATGAATTCGAGCAGAAATAAAACGTCAATGTCGGCGTCTACATCGCAGGGAAATCAAAAAAATCCAAATGCACCAAAGAGAAAGCGATCGGCAATATTCATTCCACCTGTGCCAGAATCCTCGACTCCGAATCACGCGACTGAAGTGAGTATTTGTAAGTTCAAGTTCACCGGCGGTGCAAAGCCCAGTTTACAAGAAAAGAAAATGTTATCTGTTGATGCTGGCGGAAATTTCCGTTATTACAGCGGCACCGGTGACAAATCCATTCGAGGATATGAGTTTTTTCCACGTGAAAGTCTTAAGCAATCGAGTTTAATGTCGGCCTCGAGTGCCGGAGCATTTTTAAATACACCCGGACAGAAAATAGCACCCACGGATATTCCACCTCCATCATTTGGATTGAGTAACGAACTATTGCAAATACCGGAAATGAGCACACCAAGTTCCGTTGGCATTCTTCCATCGTCACAGAATGCAATACCGTCACCACATCAACTCCAACATTCAAAACAAAACAGCAATTATCACAGCAGTCGAAAGCGAAAGTCGAAGCGATCAATGCAACGGGAAAATTTGGAAAAGACTTTTAAAGAGAAGGGATTTCTTATTCAGACGCAGCAATTGGAACAGGCCGAAGGTACGTACTGCAAATTTAGACAACTTCGAAAGTTTACCCGTTACCTATTTCGCTCGTGGAAGGATTATTTACCGCAGAATGAATTACAACAAAATCAAGCCAACTCCACAAACGCAGTTGCATTGAACCAAGCAAGCATATCTTCCATTGTTGACCATAATGGCATCGATCCATCTGCATCTCATTTTATGCCATCACCATCACCATCATCATCACACGAAGAATAATTACCACATTTTTATATGACCCCAATTAAATCATCACTTTTTTTTAGCACTATCGAATAAACCATTACGTTTATGTAGCTACTAAAATTTGGAATTTATTTAAAGAATTTATTACAACACTGTAAACAATAATTTATTTATTTATTCAATGGAGAAAATAAAGCAACGATTATCTTATTTTAACATATCCTGAGTGTTCCTTTCGTTTAATTTCAACTTGTTTAGTTGTTTGTCAACATTTTAGATTAGAAATCGCCATGGTTTCGAAAATTGCTTTGAAATTACATGTTCAACACTATTTAAAGACACACAATTTTCTTGTATACTCGCATGATCCAAGCCGTTATTCAAGCAGAACTCCTTTATCCAATCGTCATGCTTCACGATGGCACTCGATTTATTCAGCGAAATTTCTTGCAAATTTTCACTCATTGCAGCCAACACAAGCAAAGCGGCAGTTGTTATCGGTCTCAAGATTTTCTATTTTGAATTTAAAGAAGGAAAAAAGACTTTATTTAAATTTGGAATTAGATTGGAAATCGCTTCTAAAGAAGCTTTGAACTTTAGCTTGAGTCGTAAGTATTGAAAGAGACAATTTTGAAATGAATTTTTTTTCACGCATTTCATTTAGAAGCATCAAAAATAAAAGTCAGCAAAGGCAATTTCCTTACCAAGGTAGACAAATGGTTACATCCTGACACAATCTCAATGAGATCGATATCACCAAGTGTTGAGCTTTGATCACTATAAATCACGACGCTGCTTCCATAATTTCCAATGATTTTATTGATTACGCCTCTCTTGGCCTGAAAAGAAGAGAGATTATTGTTAATTTCTTTCCTATACAAATAATTTTGATGCTTTTTTTTTACATTTTTGCATGTGATGGAATGAACGGGAGCTTCAGGCTGTATCAATAGATCGCATCCGTTTGTATATTTTGAGATAGCCTCCAGATGAACTTGCAAATGTTCGCTTGCATGCTGTTTAAAATGTGTCCATGCTTTGGCGCTGCATGGCATCACAGTTTTTGGTGTATTTTCATTTTGTACAATATGCAAGTGTTTCAAATTTGATTCAACTATGAGATGAAGCATGGAATCATCAATATTTTGTGGGGATAGTTTCAATATCTGAAAACAAAATGAATATTGCACAAACAAAAAAAAAAACGAATATTATTCGGGTGGCAATTGAACAGAATCACAAATATTTATAGATTCATAGATTTATAGAGAGCATTGTAAGTCTGTAAAATTCACAGTATAACGTTATCGAGAAAACAAATCAATTTGAACATTGGCACAAACCTCTAAATTAGACATCATAGCGATTTGCTGGAGCGGGCAATGGAAATTTGTCAAATTAACAGCTGAGAGTAACTTTAGTGAATGGCTCAAACTGATGCTCATCTGATCCAGTAATTTGTTAGCTTCATATCTCTCCAGTACCAAATCGACCAGCTCGAGCTGGCATAGTTTTTGCATTTTTGGTAACAATTTTCTAAAACTACCGATCACCTGACCTAATTAAATTTGATGAAACGATTAAATGTAATTTTAAACAAAATTAACCGCACGTTATTACATTTAAATTTATTCAAGTTTTCAAATTGTAATGATTTGGGCATAAATTATGTGCCAAAAATTCACAAATTTAAAATAACAACCAATTTCTTACCTCCAATGCCAAAGAGTTTTATTCCATTCGGATTAATTTCGAGTGGTTGATCACAGGGGAAATTGAATGCAAATTGTCGAATATTTGGCGATGAATTCTGCATCTGAAATGAAAATGCTCGTAAAAATCAACAAAAATTTCAGGATATAAACGGGAAAGTACCTTGACAAAATATGATTCAAACAATACAAAGAGCTGATACAAACTGACAAAGTCTTGCAGTTGGCAAATGTTGACACTTCGTATATGTGGCCCGATACGCTGTAAGCAATTTAGTGCTCGTTCATAGTCCAGAACACGATCGGAACAACGAACCTTGTCCTCATCGTTGCAAACAGTTTTTGTCAGCCAGTGTCCGTCGATAATAACCTTTCGCCAGACCTTCGGCAAGTCAAAACATGATGCCCAACGACGGCATACCTGATGGGAAAATAGAAAACATTTGATAAATATAGGAAACGTTGTTAAAAAAAAAGACGCTCAATACACACCAAGCTTGCGTTGAACCGATCACGAATTGGCAAAAATTCGAATATTGTTTCCATGATTAAATCGTCCAGCGACTGCCAATCTACTGCTTGGATTCGTTCCATTTGTTTGAGTAAATACAAGTGCGTACAAGTAAGAAAGGAAACAACGAAAATTATAACAAAAACTTGAACCACTTGCTATCTAAATATGAGCCATTCGCAAAGTTTTTCACGAAACTACTAATTCACTCAATCCCATTTAGATCGAAGCAAAACGATGATCAAACACGAAAACAAAAACATGTTTTTTTTTTTCGTTGCTGATTTCACCGAACATGCGCAAACACGTAAAGCCGTTTTTTTTTATTGTTCCCATTCTAAATATACAAAGCATATTTTCGGACGGAGCATACAATGATTGGGCACTACTTGTTTGCACACTCGAAACCGTTGAATCATCTATTTTCGCAATAGGGAATTTTGCAATATCAATCTTGTAAGCGTTGTGCAAGCCATGAGAGCAATTGTAGCCAGATTTGTAAAAGTAAAGACTAAATTTTTTCGAACAATACTTCTTAATTGCCGAGCAATCAGGATCAGATGTGTATCAGCAGCTATAGCGAACAACGATATTTGCTATTTATGAATATGTTTGTTCGTTTGCAAATGCTAAAGAAAATAAGAAACCAATGTATCCTTCGTTTTTTTGCTATTTTTTTTTTGGATCAGTTGCACTAAATATACTGCCGACTTTACTTTCGACACGAGAATTTCCTTCAAAGGATACAATTGATTTTTAGTGGTGTTACGGGTGAGCATTTGGTTGGCCTACCTCGTTAATCGTATCTTTTTCTTGTTTATCATTCGAATCGAGATCCCAGACGGTTAGGTAAACTGCAGAAATTTATTGCGATAACAAGCAGTTTTGATTATGTAAAATATCACAAGACACAAAATGCATGTTATTCACCATTTATACTCACTTGTGATAAGCTCATTGGGAAAATGTTAAAAAATTTTAGGCAAATTTCCAAAGGAATATTCATTAATAAAGAATCTCATTAGATTTTGGTTGATACTTTTTAATAAAGCCGAAGAATATTAAAGAGATTTGGTGGTTTGCAACATACAGGGTCATTTTTTGAGTTGGATTGTTTTGATTCGATCCAATATGATATTTTTTTCTCTTCACAATTTGGTTGTAAACGTCACAAACCCATGGATACAGTCGCTTCAAACGAATTTGAATTTCTCACAGAGTGACATTTCTCTCGTATACATTTGATTGAATCGACGCAATAGATTCCAAATCCATTGCAACACGGGCTAGTTCAAAGATTTTCATCGTTCTGTGTTTCTTAATTTGCATCAAACGATCTCCGTGTTCACACCAATACAGAGAGCAGCGTTCAATTTGAAACTGATACACTATTCGTGCTCGCATTGCTATACATACACAGGCTGTGTGTTGTTTTGCATTTTTCTGTGTTGCTGTCCTGCTGTTCGGAACAGTGTGTTCATTCGTTCGCGCGTACATTCTGATTACAGTTTTGTTCTAGTGTGTGCAGTGCGAACACATTTCAGCATAGAAGAGCGGCAACTGTTTTGCGACAACTTGTGAAATCAGTCTGTCATCTGTTTGAGTTTGGTGAATACAACACGTGCTTGGTTGTTTGGTTAAACCAAACGAAAGATTTAACGAGTGAGAAAAATAAACGTGAATATAAACGTTTTCGAAATGGATGCATCAGTTTTGGCGGCAACATCACCGTCCAATGATTTAAGATGGCCCGTTGTTCGCATATCGAGAAAAGAGGTCCGGGATTATCAACAACAGCAAAACATGTCGTCAAAAACCAGAACAACAACCGATGTGATCGACTGGAAGAAAGATGCCGATATTCGTGGTATGTTGTCGTTTTGTTTTTATTTTCGAAGAAAAACAATTGAGTGAACAATTGGTTGGAATGACAGCATCTGCCATCTAAATTGGGCGAAAAACTAATGCACGATATTTTTTCACAGACTCCAATAATATGCAACCAAGGGTGATTTTGGATCGTTCGAGCGTACCGCACGGACTGACCGACAGTGCACAACCATCAACCAGTGGAATGAAAAAGTCGACGGCTTCAACTTCGAAAACGACATCGACATCTAGAGCCAAACCCAAGCTTGCGGTGAAGAAACCAACTAAGGCTGGTCGCCCTCAGTTTGTAATGAATTTTCGAACAACACGCAGCAAGAAAAACTAAACAACCACTATTCATCGTCGTTCATCAAAACACATAACCTCAACGAAACATTCGAATAATGAAATAATCATAGAGATAAGCATTGAGTGTCCATTCACTTAACAAATTCACATCCGAATTTTCAATTCAGTATGGATTATGTACATACAGTATGTGTGACTATATTAATATGAATAAAATATAAGGGTTATTAAGGTTTCATGCATAACTCAAAGGACTTTTTCTATCAGGAAATGTTTGGTTTGTATTTCAGTGATAGATTAACTTTCAACAGTCTAACATAATTTCATCCTTTGGTATACACAAACATTTGTGTTTATTATAAAATTGACTCCGTATAGAAGCAAAAACTTATAGAACACTCAAGAATGAGATACAAAAGGTACATGTTATGCTCTTTTTGCTGATTTTTTGTTGTTGATAAAATTCGATTTTTCCAATGAATTCAATCAACTATTCATGACAAAAATGCTCTTTAGAATAAATTGTAATGACGTTTTTTTGAAAACCTTGTTACTCACTCACACATTCCGATCGCATATGCATCACATACGATGAACAGCAGCATCAGCAGTGGCTAAAAACAACAACATTCAATAAAAACAAAAAGATCGCGACGAGAATATTGTATACAAAGCAAATCTTCCAATATATAAACAAACCATTTGATGCAGAACGCTTTCTTCTTTAAATTGAAAACATACACTATTTATTTCATTTGTATCAGAATCATCGTATAGTTACGATAGCTGCTTCAAGCTTAGCCACATAAACATCCAATGAGTTAGTACTGAGTTTGCGAATAAAACAAAACATTATTTTTTCTGTTTACAAACATTTTTTTCTTCTCACTTGAAATTGGTCACTTTGTCAACATTATTCTGAAGCTGAATCGTGTAATTTGCTTCCAATCATTCCATTGTTTCTGTTGCCTAATTTTATTTTATTTTTTCTGGATTGCACTGGTATACTTCTGCTACTTCTTGTTCGTCAAAAAGCGATATTCTGATTATATGAAACCTTACCGTAGCTGCCGCTAATCTAAAATTGATTGATCATGGATTTTACTGTAGCATTTTTTATTCATTATCTACGGTGTACTACGTTGTGAAATGATTTGAAAAGGCTGTGAAAATTACATTACCAGATTTATTAATTCCAATTTAAAAACCAAAATAATTAATCGAAATGATTTAGTCTCGTGTGGTCTACGTACTTAAGAATCATGTCGAATGCGGCAAAGAACATTACATTTTTTCAAAAATAATTTTATTCAGGCCATCGAATACAGTCACCACTTCACTTAAATGTCTATATGTCCAATCACTCAAGCACTTGTTGCATAAAGAATCACGTTTTGATGAAATAAAGTAAAACAAAATACAACAAAAGAAATTATTTCAGAATCATTATTATACTGATCAAATTATTTGCTTTCATTGTCAAAGGTCTACAAATCGAGAGTAACGATGATTGCAGTAACGTTAGTTTTATTATTGTGTGTGTGTTTTTATTGGCATTGGTGCAACACTTGAAAGTGCTGTACAATTCAAAACGAAAAGTGTCAATAGTTGAACGGATAAAGAAAGAAGTTGTCGTTAAGAAATATCCACAAGAGCCTGGTCCACCATATATTTGCCAATCCTTGGTAATATGATCGACATGGGTAAATATCCGCTACCAACAATCGCATTGTTATATTCTCGATGACGTTGGGAACAAAGCGGTGTGTCGTTGCTAGTGATCTGAATTTAATGCTGGAAAATTTTGAATAAATATGGGAATTCAATCCATGCCCGACCAGATTTTATTCGTTTCCATCAGCTATTTGATCGTGATGACTGTAAGTTAGATCACGTCTCGCTCCTTTCGTTTCAGTTCTAAGTAAAATGAATCGAATGCACGTAAAATCACTTGTATCGATTCATTTACTAATTCTTATTTGGAAAATAATTCGAAAATTCATATAGAGAGGAAAACAATGCGGAAATGGTATAGCGTCATATCATAATCAAATAAATACCTTGGATGCAATTAAAGGGACTCTCGATTGTTGAAATAAGTTTTCATTTGAACTGATTGTTTTCCGCTTTTTTGAGTTTTCTTCCTTCTCTTTCCTTTTTCTACATTTTGCTTGTGCTCCCTTCCCTATCTTATCCTTTATTTATCATTATTTCGTTTTTTTTCTTGCTCTATGTACTTAGCATTGGTGTTGCGTGATTGGTATGCACAAAAAGCGTCGATATTTTTCTCGTAAATACTGTACACCTATGGATAATACGCAAGCATATAATCGCATGGGTTAAATCGGTTGCAACGAAATGAGGGAGCTATTGCAACGGATTTCAGTGAGGCATAACGCCTGGTACGGACTATGATCTGTTCAGTCAATCGAGCTTCAATATATTCACGGAGTACATGTGCTCCGTAAATTTTGACTATGATGATGCAGGCTTTCGGAAAACCGCTCGTGCTTATGATGATATCATATACGAAATCAATGGAGGATATATCATTGATTTTGTTCCATGGCATACCGAGAACATGACGTATTTGAAACGTCTAACTCCATCTACGGAATTTTCCAGCAGTTGTGTTCTATTGAGTTGCGGTTTCAACTATTTTTGGGCGAAATTATCTCAAAAGTATGCTAAAATGAGTTATTTGTCATGCGAACGCTCAAACGACTACTGTTAATGTACGCACTGATTCAGTAGACATGCAATGGTTACTAGATGACAAATTTACAATACACTCGAGTGCGTGTATTTGCGCGTACATTTCCGGTAGCCGTGTGAGCGTTCGCATAACAAATAACTCATTTTTGTATATTTTCGAGATAATTTCGCCCAAAAATAGTTGAAATCGTTATATGTCTACTCGATTCACAACTACTGGAAAAATCCGTAGATGGAGTTAGACGCCCGTACCAAATATAATGTATTGAAACTCCATATACATGCTCGGAGTATGTTCCATGGTTGCGACCATTTTACGAAAAGCACTTGGAAAAATCCATTCGAGGTCAAAAGATATTCGCCAATTCATTTTGAAACTTTTCATCGAACACAGCAATAAAACTCAACATCAACTGAATGAACCGGATAAAGACTTCATCGATTATCTGACAAGAACTGTGGCGAACGAGCCGGAAGCCACCTAATCCACCGTTCTACATATTTATGCAGAACTATTTTATCACTTGAAGATCAAACTTTGTGTGGATTTGAGTGGGGAGTAACACAGAGGTTACTCGTCGCGTAGGCTATTGACCTTTTGCAAGAAGGATTCAACTTTTACTTGATTGTAATTTATCCAATTGTAATTAGCGGGTGTCGCATGCTTATTGCGAAGATACGGAGAGTATGCGACAATGTTAGATCAGCGTAAACGGTTCGCACAATTGCTCACGATGACGCACATTGCTACGTATAGTTTCAGAACGATGGTTCATTGTTTATTAAGAATCTTTCTTTCCTCTTTCATCTACATTTCCATTCGTCGCAGTGGAAAATTTGAGCATTACCATTTCCTAGAAAGCAATATTTATGTGAGAGAAATGAAAATACGTCGACATTCCGGCAACGGTCAACCATATTTGATTTATTGAATGTTTTCAACAAATTATAGATAACAGTTTACATAAATACAAAAATGTAGTTTCTCGCTTACAAACTATATTATGCCATCCTAATGATATCTTTAAATGAACCAACTATTTATGCTTTAGTAACGACATTTTCATTTTACATATTTTGTTTGACACTTCGTCAAGTAATGTCGAATCTACGTCTGGAAGCCATTATCAGCCAATGAAATGATGCGTAGTTTGATTTCGGTGAGTTCAGCGGTTGTGAAAACTGGGTAAATCGTTTCGCACTTCATGAATTGCAGTGGTGTCATCGCACCAAATCGAATCAATTCGAAACATTCGCCGAGTTCCGTACGCCAATCCATCATTTTGTTATGTTCCACATTGTTTCGTTCCAATGACGTTTTCGCCCAGTGCATGCACGCTTCAAACAGTGCGAATTCATCTCGGTTCTCGATGTTGGACAACAAAATGTGCTTCAATACATTGTGGCTGCAGTGTAAAAAACCATTGGTTGTCAAAACACGACGAAAGTTCTTTTCGATCACCATCAAACATGAGCGGTACATCTGCATGTCGTTGCAAACGGTCGCTAATTCAAACGCATAGCACACATTTTCGGTGGTGAGCTTGTCTTTCAAGAACTGTTCACACTGGGTCATACAATTGTGTGCATTGTACTGTTTGGCCAAATAAATCAGATCGGAAACGTTGCGATCCGTGACGGCAATCTTGTGCTGGTAGAAAGAGCTCAGAAATACTGAGAACACCTCGGCTGATACGTCACATATTTCGATGTTGCTTTCCTTTTCCAAATCGATGAAAAACCGGCGATAGAACACTGAACTATCCACCGCCAGCAGGCATTTGTGAGCGGGAAGCAATTGTGATTCGTTTCGAATGTTGTCAGCCACAAAGTGAATATCGGCAGTTGTCTCGTTAAGCCACAGTTTTTGCAAATTAAGACACAAAGTGTCTGTTGTCGTCGTCGTCGTTGTTGGCGCCATTGTTGGTGGCGATGCACCAAATAACACTTTATTTGGCAAACATCGGTAGGAATTCATGGTTCTTTTTTTTTTCACATTGATATCTGTGTAGAATATACCTTTTTTCTGTTTTTTTTTATTTGTTATTTAACGATAATTCTTTCTCTTTTTTGTGTTACGGTTTTGATGCTTGATTTATTTGGTGGTGATAGATTCGAAAGTATTTGTCTAATGAACGCATTGAGTTCGGAGCTATAAACAAATGACATTCGTATCGTGTACATCGTCTATCTTCTTTTCGCGCATTGAATAAATCTAACGGATTTCAATGGAGCAGCAACACAATCCTTAGCTGTGTTAAAGGGCAAGACATTCGGTTCGGTTTCAAGTGATGTGAGCTGTCAATGTGTGTGTTGGTGAAACCAATGCTGATTCCGTATTGAAAAGTGTTACACTAACCATCGAAAGTGTAAAAGAATAGAAACGAACTAGAATCCAAACTCCAACGAAAAATTGAGAAAAAAAAACCATTCTCCGGCGAAGAAGAGAACATTTCTTTAAAAATGAAAGGAAAAAAAAAATACTTCATTCAATATTCGATATGGAGCTTTAACAAACCAAATATGAATTTTCAAATCCCAGTCCAGGTCTAATATGAATAAAGCTTAATTTGTGCATTGAATATGACTGTCTCTTAACTATCGTTTACATTAGCAAACACATTGATGGCGCCACTTGCGAATGGCTCAACGCAATGTATGACTTTTTTCGGCAAATCTGTCAAAGTGTGCTGCATGTATATTCGCTGAAACCCGAAACGGAGTAAATATTCCGCACTTGCTATTCGTTTTGGAAATAAATTAAAGTTGAAGCAAACAAAACCAGCTCACAAAAATGGACGCGGAATGCAAGGCGATCGAAAAGAAGATGCAATCGGAGGTGGACCAGTTCAAAGCCATTCAAAAAGGTGAGTGTGACTCATAAAAATTAGTCACTGAATCTCTGCCCAAAATTTGCCGCATGTTTTCAATGGTCAAATAATACTCTGGATTTGCTTGACTTCGATGTGTGTGTGTGTGTGGGCGAAATAAAAAAGAAACTGAACATTTCGTTCTGTTTAACGCAAATCGAAATTGAATGAATGCAATTTTCCCACTGATTGACGCATATTTTGTTGATGTTTAGATTTTAGCAAACTGGTGCAGCAACGCGAATTGCTTGACGGTCAACTCAATGAAAACAAAAGCGTTCTGGAGGAATTGAATCTGCTTAAAGATGATAATCAGGTATGATTTCAAATGCACAGCATAGTCAATGGTAGTTTGTATTTGATGACATTGTTTCTTGATTACATGCATTTATTTTATGAATTTTAGGTGTACAAATTGTACGGTCCAGTGTTGGTGAAACAAGATCTCGATGAAAGTCGTCAGAATGTGGGCAAACGTATGGATTACATTAAGAAAGAATTAAAGCGATGCAATGATCAAATCGAAGAACTCGAAAAGAAACAGGATAAACATCGTGAAAATATTCAAAAATTACAACAAAAACTGCAACAACAATATCAAGCGGTTATGGCAGCTGCCGGCATGAAGTAAACACACATCTTCGAACAAACAATCCGGAACTGTATAATATTCGAATAATGATCATCATTTAATCGATTCAATTCACCAATGGCATTAATTTCGTGTGCGAAAACATATTAAAATGTGTTTATTTTTCAAAAAAATAAAATTTCTAACATTCTATCATTCCTGTCTTTTCTTCAATTGGAATTTTGTTTATTGTGGTTCTGTTCTTGTGAAAAACATCACATAAATTGAATTGTTCGAAAGTAATTGTACCCAAACCTCGTAATTGTACCAAAAAAAAGTGTCTCATTCATTTTCGCAATTTAAAGTTTGCCTCGTGATGGCGCTGATAAGCATTGTTCGCTACAACACACACACACACACACACACACACACACACACACACACACACATGACATTCACTATTTACGTTTGACGTTTCGCCTCTTTATCATGGTAAATTTACTCTAATCCCTTGTTGTTGTTGAGTCGTTTGTAACGTGTCTGTTGCATTTGCAGATTTTACAATTGGTTCATTGTCCAAATCTGAAAATAATGAACATTTCAAATCATCAAAATTCGCCCCAATATCAAGAGTGAGTGGAAAAACATCCGTAGATGTCAATTGAACTGCACTCGTAGCATAAACGAAATCGAATTGATGAGCAAATATTTTGGAATTTTCCGATCTTGTTTTTGGTCTTGATCTTGATTTTGGTCATTAGCAAACGAGTTAGTTATACAGCCGATAATAAAACGTTGCTCATCTATCGACAAGCGTCAAATTTCGGAGGCGATAAGCCAACAAGATTGTGTTCGTGAAAAGCGATTTTGACATTTCCATTCACATAAACAGTGATAATAAAATAAACCGTAAACCTTTTCACCAGTGTAAACAAATGCGATGGTCCGATAAGTAAATATAAAAAATAATTTGGCAGCGTTAGTTTTTGCCTATTGGCAAACAGAATCTACTTTGTGCGTTTATGTACACAAATCGAACGGCATGATTACAATGTGATTAAAAGTGTATGCGTGTGTATGTATTTGTACACGACGTGAGACAGAGAGCAGCTGGAGCACAAAGGTTTGTTGCCGATAGTGTGTGATCGAAATGGAGGTCAATCCATTGAGTATAATTTTGGTGAAATCGGACAGTAAAGGCGATCGCTTACTGTTCCGATATCCATATCGTGTCGAATCGAATGAAACGAGTTACCAGAATAAACGAAGAAATCCATACTCAATACCCGCACAAGAAGATATTTTACAAAGTCCACCGCCACAAACATCGAACATTCATCAAGGTAAGCGGATCATCATCTCATATTCAACGAACATATTAAATGAATTATCGAATTTTTTTCTCCAGTTTAGCTTTTGTTTCAAAGCAGTTGCAATGAATAAACAATATTTTTTTGTTCTGTTTCACAATACACAGGGCAACTGTCCGGCTTCACAGATGAAGTACTTTCAACATTGTTTGCTGTTAAAGCCGAATTATGTAATCAAAAATTCGAGCTCAAAGTGAACGATGTTCGTTTTGTGGCCCATCCGACGCTGATGCAATCGAAAATTGGCAAAGAAGAACCGAGCGGCTCATCGATTTTGATAAACATTGTTTTTGCTCTGTATGCACAAGCCAGCTATTCCATTGTTAAGTGCTACTATGAACTCAGCAAGCGACTGGGAAATGCTTTGGTGTATGAGGAGAATCGCGTCGGCTATCTTACTGATGAAATGAAGCTCATCCTTAAGACACACGATGAAGTAGCCGAGAACATTGAAGAAGGGCGTTCATTGCGTGGCATCACAGCGTTTGATCAGATTTTGGAACGATCTTCTTTGGCTTTGTGTCTTAAAACGGTATTCATTTTTCTGTGTACAAAAAGAATGTTACATTTAATTTGAAAAGAGAAAAAAGTGAAATCCAATTTTAATTCATGCATCCATTCGTTTCAGATTTACCAAGATTTATGCTCGACGGGCCTGCTAAACATAACCATAAATCAGTTCATAACGTTGAGTTTTTGTTTACCTCAAAAAGCGCATCAATTCCACAAGAAGGGAGTGGTGGTTGAACCGGAGGCAATCGATCGTTGCCTCAAATCGCTCAAACCATATCACGGCATGCTATTGTTAGTCGACTACACTGAATTGCTGGATTGTGTACCACCATCGGGTGCGGTCATGCTAACCAAACTATTAAACGCTTATAATCCTTTTAAAACGTTGCAAAACATTGCGACCGATGCAGATTTTGCCATCAAACATGTGTACGAATTGGTGGGTCATTTGGTGTATTGGGCCAAAGCAACGATTATCTATCCATTATGCGAAACAAATGTCTATGTTATCGCACCGGATGCGCCTTTGCATAATCATTCACCATTGGCCGAAAAATTTTATGCCAAATTTTCCATGAACTTATTCGAAGTCATCAGTGAATTTTCGTTGCCAACTTCCATAGGCCATTTAACCACTCCGTTACAATATCCAACCAAACAGGGTACACTCGTACAAATGGTGCTATGGATGCTTCAACATCATTTACTAATGCAATTGCATACATACGTTCAATTTATGCCAACCGATCATGGAGAATGCATCAAGGCAGTGGAACCAGTGGCCAGCACAAATTCCGTGAATGATAGTGCAAATGTCATTACACAAAACAATCCATCTAATATGGAAGATTCAATGGAAACACTCGACGAATCGTCCGAACTATCGAATGGTGCCGAAAATGGTCAAGTATTTGGACCAATGAGCATCGAATCGAGTCAACCAATGCCCGTACCAAAAAATTCCTGCTGTCGATCGATAAGCGAAGATCATTATTCAGAAATTGGGGCCGATTCAAATATATCCGATCACATGGGTGTTCCGGCTGGTTCAAGCAACAAATCCAACTACAGTATCAGTCAGTCGGATACAATGAGTACGGAAAATTGTGAAAGTCTTGCATCGATGGAGGATGATGATAAAATCAAGGAGCTACTGATGGCGTTCCAAGAGCCGGGGCGAAGCGCCGTAAGAGACCTTCCAGCCGCATCGAATGTGGAGGATCTTACACTTATGGTGAAATTATATCAAGCCGGTTAGTGGAAAACCAGTTTCTTTTCATACTAAAATCGTATTTTTTTAATAGCATGATTAGTTATTTAATCGATGATAGTGCTAATTGGCATAAATACTTAGGAATTGGGATATAATTGATACAAAATTGAATCCGCTGTAATTTTCAACAGAAAAATCGATTTTAACCATTAGCAAATTTCACAATTTTCTAACGAAACAATGAATGATAAATGATTAACTGAACAAAAAATGTGATCATTTCAGGTTATTTCAAGGGTGAGCACCATCTCGAAGAGATAATGTATTTTGAAAATCTCAGACGCTCACAATTGCTGCAGCTTTTAGATAAATTTCGTGATGTTTTAATTATCTACGAGACAGAAGATCCGGCTATCGCAACACTTTACACACAAACCTAGCATCGACATTGATTGACGCATCAAACCGACTAATATCAATTAGAAGTCGCTGTGAAGTGAGTGAGAAAAACACAAGCCGCTTGGTCAATCGTCACGACAATTTAAATATACCGCTAGATTGTTCCAAAGCAAGTTCAGGTGGGTCATTCAGAGAGAATATAAACAACTACAAAATCAACTCGTTGTTATTTGTTTCAAATATAGAATTGTATTGTTTTTTTTTATATAATATATTTTAAATTTCAAAGAAATTACATATGTTAGAATGAATAAAATATTTGACTAATATTTTTTAGAAAAAAAAAACGAGATTCATTTGGCCTTTTCCCTCTTGATTGTAGAGTTTGTTTGTTTTTTCTTATATGGAAATGATTCATAGTTGGAATTTTTCATTGTTGAGTTGAATGTTGATTGCTTAGAATTTTCAGCGTTTCCTAATGCGATTTTCGATGATACATTTTAGTTTGATTGATGAAAATGTTCGATGGATGCTAGAAACTATGAGCGTTCAACGATGGTAGCCTGAAGGAAAGAGAAAATTTGTTCAAACATTAGAAAAGATTTCAACAGAAAATGTCGCATTGTAGTCATTTTGGGGAATTTTTCAGGGGAAGACTGTATGTGATGCTTGATCCACATTCAACAATAGCAAATTAATAGAAAAGAGCAAAAACTGATCAGATACTTACGTCTAGGCGGCGAAGGGCTGTGAACACGTCGATGGTTTGATCGATTGCGTGCACTGGCATAGCGGTTCACTTCATCTTTGTAGCGATCAGAGGAGCCAGATGATCGTGGTCGACTGGTGATTGAATAATCCACACGAACATAACGGTTATCGATGCGCAGATTGGTCGATGATTCAACAGCTCGAGTGGCACTTTTCATCGATTCAAAGTAAACGAAACAGTAGCCACGCGATCGACGAGTCTGTAACAAAAATGAACATTATGAAATTGAACAATTTTAACAATATTCTATAGAATAATAAACTTTCTAATAAACCAATGGACAGTTGAAAAAAAAAAGAAAAAAAAAAAGACGGGAATTAAATGTGTTATACTGTCGAGCGACTCCTTTACGAAACGTTCCATTCACTTTTCGACCGTTTCGCCTAAATAATCGCACATTTTTCTCTACCAAAGTCAACGTGAGAACGCATCACAATTTGTCTTCCATGTGAACGTTTAATTTTATGATAGATGCTGAACTTTGGAATAAACAACAACAAATCCACTGCGGATGCGAAAAGCAATAAACTCACAACAACTATGTGCACTGTGCAACAGATCGGATATACGTTCGAGATGTGTATGTTAACGGAACTTACTTTGTTGTCATAGATGAGCGTGGTGTTTTCAATGTAACCATACTTTGAGAACATGCGTCGGATGTCCGTTTCAGTTGTACGTTCGCTCAAACCGAAAATACCAATGCAGCGGCTCTCTTGCGGTCGTGCCTATTGATTAGAGTTGAATTGAGTTGAAATTGATATCGATTTGGATTTTTGTTTGGTTTTGCACTTTGATTCATTTGACTTTGGATTGATTTTGCATTGAATTCGTTTGGAGATATTGTGAAATCAGTTTGCTTTGCTTTTGCCATCATTTACTATTCAAATGAAGATGCACTAATTGAATGCTGATTTTTCTCCAAATTTTGGCGTGCTTTGATTTTTCTTTTTTTTATTGGGTGTGTAAAAAATTGATTTCGATATTTGATTGATCTGATTGCTTACACGTGAGTTTGAGTTCCGGTTTGGGTCATCATAGGGATCAATGGGTCGGTCGCGAGAACGATGATAGTCATGATGCAACAACATTGGTGATCGATATCGTCTTCGTGGAGATCTGGTGGTGCAAATAGGTTTGATGAAAAACAAAGTTTAATTCCGTTAAACAACACACAATGTAAATCGTTTCGTTCGAATCGAGAGATCAAAAATTCGGTTTACCGGCTGCGATTTCGTCTTGAGACTGGCGGTGGCAGTGGTGGTGTACGCGGTCGCATTTTGTGCATTTGTCGTTCGGAATGATTCAAATCGCAGTAATCCATTGTCGGCAAATTTCTGGGGAAAAAAAACGAGAACGAGAGAGAGAAAGAGAACAAAAAACGATTCACGTTAAAAAAAAAAACAGATGAAAAAAACTCAAAAACTTTATTTAAAAAAAAACTACCGATATTTTTCAATGTATGTGCACTCATAGAGACCGTTTGCGATTGGCGCAATCGGCTCGTCACGAAAACGTTGCATTTGCATTGACGTTAAAGTTATGAATTGACAAAAAGTGAGCGAATAGCGTATGATCTAGTTGACGGCCAAAAGGTGAATGTTTAGTTAGTGCAACAATTTATCGATATTGTGCGTCAGCCTAACGGTTGCCAAATACGACTCCGACGAAATGGCGAAAACATGAGCAATAAATGACCACATGAAACTATCAATGACACTCACGATGGAGTAGTTCCCATGTTGTCTACACACAATTGAATTTGGATTTATCCAACACTATTTCCAATACACAATATGTATTTCCATTCACATTCCTCTACAGCTACTTGTGATATTTTTCTAATATACTTACATTTCAGTGAAAAGTCGAGATTTTTGTTTTGATCGTCAGAAAATGGAATTGTAATCGAATTTGGTGTGTGTTTTATTGCTTCTTCTGTCGGTTGACCGCATGTACGAAACACAAGTCGATCGATGAGCTCTAGTCCAAAGCACTGTGTGTGTGTTACGATACGTTACGATATAATCGTGGTGCTGTGTGTCGCCGGCTAAAATCCTACTTACACAATCAATGTTGTTCTCTCTTTCATATTGTTTACAGTTAGATGCATTTGAATACGAAAAACTGAAAAACATCACGAATTCGTGAGTCGGCAACTCTTCTGGTGCTGCCGTTTATGCTGTGTATATGTGTGCGCTTCGATTCAACTGACCATATTACACTGCTGCTGCTGAGCTTCATTTCACACTTCAATGTGTTGACAGAAATCATATTGCAGAAATAATAGCGAGCGAGAGAGAGAGAGAGAGAGAGAGAGAGCAAAAGAAGGCGGGAAGAAGAAGAAAAAGAAACAGCATCGAATAAAACACAGTAGCAATGGCATGCCACAAACGAATGACCCAAAGCAGAGAAAAATGAAAAAAAAACTGTGATCAGCGTTTGATAGAAATCATTTCAGTAAACATACCGTAAATGCAAGCGTCTCCAAACATATACGCTTCATTTTACAACTAACCACATGCACCACAGCACATTGTTGAGTGTTTTTCAGTTCGCGTGAATTCTCGAAGTGCTCGCACTAACAATAACATCATCTTGCTTGGATATTGTAACTCTTATGCATGCAAAACACTTTTGTTTCTTAGAACCAATCAACTTAGTGAATCGTACACCACGTGAATCATGTGTAGGTAGTTTTGACATTTCTGACACTCTGTTGTGTCAACCAAATAGAAGCTCAGCCGTATTGTATGTGTCTGTATGTATTGGAATATAAACATGTCTATGTGTAGAACTAAACACTGGCTACTGCATCAATAAACAAGAAAACTCATGCAAACAACTCTGTCAAGTTCGCATTTTATTTTTCGTTTACTTCTGAGTACTCTGCAGAATTGTTTATGTCTTTGTTGGTGTCTTACTGTTTGATAGATGAATTTAAATTAGAGGGCTACTAATCTGCTCTTTTTTCTAGATACTGTTTGAGTGTTGAAACAAATTATGGTGAATTTGAATTTTATGCTCATATTTTTTATTTAACTTAAAACAGGTGCATTAACGACAAATAGGTGCATAATATCTCAAAGCGCCAATCAAATTTTTATTATCAAATGTTGTTTAAAAATTAAATTAATTTTTCGTATAATATTTTCTGAGTCTTGATTAGAATTAAATTGATTTTAGATTCTATGCTCATATTATTTATATAATTTAAACCAAAGGCAGTATATTTCAAAAAAGAAATTAAATCAAGATCTTGTAATTCATTTTGCAAATAAATATATTACTTCAAAGTTACTTTGATGAAATACATTTCATGTAGTGCGCCAAAAAATAGTTTGTTGTGAAACAACAAAATAGATTAAGTAACTAACAACTCAAGAACGCAGAGCGGAGCGAAGCTCTGCGGTCTTTTTTTTTCTCGATGCAAAATCAAAACAATCAACCAAATATTTTTTAACAAAAAAAAATTA